CCACAATGATATGAGTTGAGCTGACTTTTCCATTCAATTTCACATAGCCTTGCTTTCCCAAAAGTTGTTCCCATTCAGACAAAAGTGGGCTACAGTTTCGACCTCACATTGGTGTTATCAACACCCTCAGCGGGATTCGAACCGAGACACTTCATGACGGTAGCTTGACACGCTAACCACTCGGCCACACTGCCACGAGTACCATTGGGTCACAGGGCATAAGTGAGTTTTAAGGAGGGTCAGGCCTCTGCTATATCATTTTCTTTTTTTTTGGTGGGAGTGCCACCATCACATGCTCTGGTGGGAGGGTCGATGAGGCAAAGTTAAATTTGCCATAACAATCGACTACACTACTTATTTTTCGTTTAGAAGTAGGCCTTCATCATCTCATGCAACCTGTGTATAAACGAAAAATGTGCAAACTCCTTCTTAATGTAAAGTTATACTTATTCAGCTTATGTGTCCAGGCTTGTTGCCATGACACGAACTGTATGTCTGTCGTCGGGTAGACATTTGTTGAGAAGGTGGCAACGGAGCGAAAGGAGGCCAGCCGATCTCCTGCCGCGAGACGGAGGCGAGTTAGGAGGGTCTTACCGCCGTAGAGCCTGTTGCAGCATGTTCTCGGCCGTCTCTTCCAGCTTCTGTCTGGCCAGCCGCTTGATCAGATACAGTTTGGCTCGTTGCATCTTGAGGGCCAGCTGTTCGGTCTCCTCCCTCGGCGAAGTGGGCGGAAGTGAAGTGAATGCGGCGGGAGCTGAAAAGTGAAAAAAAGCTTCATTTGAAGTCTCGGATTCGGCTTCTACCGCGGCCTCGGGCCGCCGGAAAATAGGGCAAAGTCTCAGAATGCAGCCTACTTACCGGATTCGTTGTGTTGCGTTGGCACGACAGAGAAAAGCAGATGCCGCAAGAGATGATAAACAGCCTCGAGCAGATTCAGCGGAATCGGCAGAACACCCTTTCGGCTGTAGTCAAGGATGACGGCAAACATGTTGAACTTGCCGATCTCGATTGCTCGCTCCTCGACCCGCACAAACACGTTGCTGGAGGAAAGGTAGAATCACCGCCAGGCTTGAACAACAGCCCTGTCATCAGTTTTTACTTTTACTATTAATACGTATAATAGCACTACTATTTTTGCTGCTAGTACTAGTTCAAATTTTACTCATCATACTACTCGCAGCAATAATAGTAGCATTAATTAATTACTAATTAGTACTAATTATAATACTACCGCTATTAATAAGAATAATAATAATAATAATATCACTGTAACTATTAATGCTACTGTAGTTACTACTATTGCTGTTAATACTACCACT